GGCGTTCATCTGGGTTCTAAAAGCGTGTTCAGTAATAGCCCTCTGGACGTAACAGAAAAAAAAAATAATTGGACGTGTCTATTTGATTCGTGTGATCGGATTTTTTTCTATTTTTTTTCCTTGATTTGTTTTCCGTTGATCTTGTTCTCCGTACTGAGTTCCAATGCTACCGACGCCAGGGAGGCAGCTCCCACATCTGGACCCTACCTCTCGACCCATCAACTCATGAACCGGGGACCAACGGCCGAAGGAAGGCGTGATCAGAGATGTTATGCCTCAGAAAATCCCGGCGGCGCCGACTCGGATTAAACCCAGGCCTTTTGGGGTAAGAGGCAATCACGCTTACCACTACACCACCGACGCAACTAGCAAAACAAAAATGTATCAATGGATGATCATTTTTTTAACTCAATTCGGTAAAAACTACAAACATTGAGTGTGGTTTTTACCAAATTGAGTAAAAAAATTGATCTTCCGTTGATGTAATTTTCTCTGACCACAGGGATCAAATAGACACGACCAATTATTTTATTTTTTATTTTTGCTGTTGCGTACAGAGGGCTATGTAAATAAACAAGAGCGCTTCATGAGTAAAAGCGTGGGGAGTAATGAGATTGGGGAAAAAATTAAGTTTAAAGATTTAAATGATTATAATTAAGTTTTCGCATGCAAAGTAAAAATCATCTATCAATCCTATTATAATCTTTTACATCACCATAAATTTCATTCGCTGTTCGTTCAAATCCGCAACAATCTCAAAAACAAAAACTGCACCTAGAGCAGCTAATAGTTTTCCGCTATTCGATGTCACGTATAAATCTAATTCGTAATTGAAAGTAGCTATGCTGCAAACAGTTCCTTTGTCGCCATGATTCATCTATTCAAGGAAGCTTCTGACCTATTTGACTTTGACATCAAAGCCTCCAGGTTTCGTCATCGTTTGCTGTCGGCCAATTTTTAATTTTTAATGAGTGACTACATTTAGATTTAAGTGTTTCATTGAGAATATCAAGTAAGAAGGACTATAATAATAGTAATTTGTATACCAAGTACAATCATTCTCTATGCCCAGGGAAGTCTTGAAATTTTCCAACCCGAAAAATTCTTAGACCAGACTAGGAATCAAACCCTGCCATCTATAGCATGATATTGCTTTGTAGCTGTGTCTTTACCGACTGATCTAAGGGCGGCCCACTTCAGATTTTTTTTTTCAAAAATGAATATATATTATTTTGAGGACTACCTTACTGTTTACAATCACCAAAAGAAGGGACTTTTTAAGCATAAAAACTTGATAAGCAAAGTGCAGACTACAGTTTCAGGTTCCGATCACTAGGGACCAGCAACCAACGATAAAGGCAAAATGCTTGATACTACTACCACGATAAACTCTCCCTGTAATACAGCTTGATCGGAATTGTAGAAGGATAATGATATATTGCTATGTTACGATATAGGGGAAATATTGGCTTCGCCAATACCTTAACCTATTATCGTCAGGGGGTAAACAAAGTCCTAGAGCACTCAAATTTGGCAAAATAGATGCTCTCAAGGATGTTGTTTACCCCCTGACGATAAAAGAATAAGGTATTGCCGAAGCCATCCTACATTGTTGAGAACATAACTTGATCGGAATCGAGAAGAAAATACATTACAAAAAATTCCCATTAACACACGTGTAGGGTAAGATGGTGCAAAACGCACTGTTTAAGCAAAATCGTCAATTACTGGCATATGAAGGCTAAAATCAAGAAGAAAGTAATGGTGTATGGTTCATTACCATGTTTTCTACAAAGATCAAGTGATTTCGAACTAACGATGAATTTTTCATGATTTTCATTCATTCATTTTATAAATTGGTTCCAAAATGATAACGGGGCAAAACGCCTGACTCATGGTGCAATATGCACCACAACATTGGGGTAATATGCACCGCATGATAGACAAACCATAACCCATACAAGTAGAGAATGCAAGGGCATGAGGTATTGCAAATGATTATTCCTTTATGTTACATCAGAAATAAGGTCTCAATGGAGTGTGATTCATGAAGTAAAACAGCTAAAAAATATACGAAAAGTGAATTCGTTGATTTTTTTGCGATATATGCTGTTAAAAGCTTAATTTGAAGCCGACGATTTTAGCAACTGTGTCATATTTTGCACAAAATGCTATGATCAAAAATTATTTGTAAAACCTCCAGTTGAAAACAAACACGATCCGTTACCCGGAAAATGCATCTGAGGAAAAGTTATCGCTGTTTTTCTATAAGTGGGCATTTTACCCCAGGGGTGCATTATAGGTTGTTCTCCCTTATCATGTCCGGCTTTACTTCGCTTGCCAACAATTTAGTCGTTTCCTTCTACCGACCCGAGCAAGCCATATTCCAACGGCCATTTGTCATGAAAAAAAGGGAAGAAGGTTATATTGTTGGTTGCAACTAAAACTGGACTGCCCCAAAAATGCAAAAAGTGTGATAAAAGTGCAAGCTTACGTCAAATCGTTTTGTTTTCTTCGGAGCACTTATTTCTTGCTTCATAAGGAATAAGTTCACCGAAGACAATAAAACGATTTGACATAAACGTGCACTTTTATCACACTTTTAATAAGTGAAAACGCGCTTATTTGTCCAGTATGGTGAGAAATGCGCAATATCATTATTGATTTCCATTACTGACATGGCGTTATCGTTCGAGAGATGATCGCTTTTCATTTTGTCATTTTGAGATATTTTTGATTCCTTGCTAGGGACGCAATGGTGCATTGATAGCTGCACCCAGACTAGCAGGCTTGCCTAGTGAACTGAGGACTTCGCGCGATAAGTTTCGTATCGATTCATTGAAATTAGCATTTTATTTAATAATCCGATGTTTATTCAACTGAAACATATTCAAACACTAACTTGGCGAAGAAATTAGAACTGTTTACAGGAACCTGCCTCAAAAAACAGTGGTGAGCCGCACTGATTTACGAAATCCGCATGGTTTACCAACGTTTTTCCAAGCACGGTTTAGGTTAAATGTTTTAATTTCGTCGTTACACTGGTTTTTGAACATTTATCAGTCGACTAAACATCAGATTCATGAAAAAATCACACATTTAAGTGAAATGCGATAAAAACTGTCCGGTGCAGCCTCGGTTCCGAATCTGAAGATTAGTTTTAACTGCTATACAAGTATTGTCGAAAGTTCTACACAGAAGTCGAATCGATTTGCGGTTTTCGACCAAGTTTTTTTTTATAATTTTCTCAATCTCAGTCTAATATTTGGTCAAAATAGAGCAATTTTTGAATTTTTTGACAAACGACTGAACAAATTCGTTTCATTTCCCATTTCAAGCTTCGAAGTTCTCTCGCAAATACAAATCGTAGCCAAATTCGCTCATATGTGGCACAGGTGTGGGGGATAATACAATACAGATCAAAAGAGCACTGGGAAGCAGGGAATTGATTGAATTGAGCAGGGAAATTATCCACCATACAAATCATCAGTGTAATTCCCACTAAAGGCCTATTGAAATTTATCTCTCTTAAGTACTCATCCCCCTAGGCAAACATGAAGCCACAACATGGAGAATTGAAACCTACCCAACTAATAACCCAAGATTCAAGTAAAGAAGGAAAATCTAAACTCTTCATAGGAAATAGTTGTAAATTTGAAGTTGGGAAAATTTCGCATAAGTACACATATCAGGCTTTTCCGTATATCATTATGGCAAAACGCTAAGACGATTAGTACAAAAGTTAGCTTTTCCCATAGTAATCCCTTATAAAATTGAAAGGACCAGCTACAAAGCAAGACCATGCTGGAGGAGGTGGCTGGGTTCGATTCCCGGTCCGGTCTAGGAATTTTTCGGGTTGGAAAATTTCTTGACATCCCTGGGCATGAGTATGATTCTACTTACCACACAATTATACTAATTCGAAAATGGTACCAGGCACCGAAAGCTCGCAATTAATAACTGTGGAAGTGCATCTAGAACACTAAGTTGAGAGCACGCAATAAGCTAATATACGATAAGCAATAAGTTTTAAATGATAATAAGAAGCAGAAGACGAAAAATAACAAGAAAAAGAAGAATAATAAGATCAGAACCTGATTTGAATTCGATTGAGTGGGGTGGAGAAAAATCGATAGTTTTGTCGAAACACGTATCTGTGTCATGGATACAAAATACTTATTGAAATTAAATGGAAAATAATTAAATTTTTTTTGATGTTTTTTGCAAGATTAACGGTACGTAATATAGGCTATCTTGATATCAAAAGTCGAACATATGACTTCCAGTGCTCATTGCAAGATAGTCTGTCTTACGTATTGTCAGCTCTATAGTTTGAAATGCGTCTAGTTGGGTAATACCGTGCCATATAACTGACTAGGTTATTTGAGGCTACAGGTGTTACCATTATACCACATAATTTACCTGTACTGAGTGTTTTATTCCCTGGAACATTTGAATCATCAACAAAAATAAAGTCAAGATTGTTTAACGAAATCTGCCATACTCCTGAAATCAATTTTCAAATAGATGATTTAATATGGTTCAAAATATGGAAGCCCCCGGAGCAAATTCCAGCATCAAAATGACAGCAAATCGAAATCAAATATTTATATCAACATCAAACTGAAATTATAATTTGATTTCAGTTTGTGCGATTGACAAATTTGATAACAAATTTTGCTTCCATTTTGCTGTACATTGGCTCTTCAAATATATGATGTTACAGAATTGTTTTCATTGCCTCAGCAGAACATCAATTTAAATACTCGCTTTGTTATCAATAAGTAAAATGTATATCATATTGAGTTTTCAGTATGCTTTCACTGATAGCAGAATTAGTTGTCAATGTGATGCTCTCAATTTTGATTTTTTAATAACTTACACGACCAAAACGACATCACATCACAACATCATATTTAGTTTCTCAGTTGATCTCAGACTATGCTCGGGCATCCTGCCTCATTCTACAATTATGTTTACTCCATATCTAACCGATCCAGATCACAAAACATTTTCTTCCGAAAATGACGGAACTCAGGCGCGGTCACATTGTTTTCATATCGTCCCTGGCTGGCATTCACGCCCTTCCGTGGGCAACCGTTTACTCCACGTCGAAGCATGCCGTGAACGGATTAATGAGCGCAGTAACCGAGCAACTACGTCTGGAGGGCTATGGCGATCAAATTCGTACAACCTGCGTAAATCCGTACTACATTGCCACGCGAAAAGATATCGTTGATTTTTTGAAGAAGCCCAGGTAGGTTTTGGTATACTCGTTTGAGGATTCAGTACATTCTTAATGCCTATTTTTTTAGATTTGAAGTTTTAACGACAGAGAGCACAGCACAAACCATAGTCCAAAGAGTACTACAAAATGAGACAACTGTTACCGTTCCAAGGTTCTTTGGATTAGGAATAAGGATGATGCAGTAAGTAAACCGTTTTGTTACAAAAAAAACATCAAATACCTACCCAACCGGGGTCAAAAGTTGTGACCGACCTTACACATGTTACCGATAGAATCATTCATCTGTTTTTTATTTACTTTTCTTGCAGGCTTTTCCCAATAGGAATCCAACAAATAATAAGAGACTACATTATGAGAGAATATGAGCTAAATTCGTCTTGAATATAATGATTTCAGTCTACCTGACACCAAAGTGCGAAACAGGTGTATTCAGTTCCTGAAGAAAGAAAGTCCAATTTATAATTTAGTAGATAGGGAAAGTGGATGTAATGTCGGCCTAAATGCCCATAATTTGGGGCCATACATAAATTCAGCAATCGACTAAATTTTAAATAGCGACCAAAAATATCCATTAGTACCGTCCCAATGACGCGTTCATCTAGATAAAATTGATAAATAGCCGATTTTTAGCGATGGGACCAATATTAGATACATAGGCCAACATTAGAGCCATTTCCCCTATTATATAGGTAGTATTTGTAAAGATTATTATATTCAGGTTGAAGAAAGTACCCAGAGGAATAGCCATATGCTTTTCTTCTTTGATTTGTTTGCCTTTACTGACTAGGCTATGAGGCCCTTTAATATCTGACCACAAACATGTGGTTTCTTCATGTTTACTTCGAGTGACATTTAATTTGAGCGGCTGTCGTCTGCTTCAGCGTCACGGTTAAACGAATACTTTTTTGATCGTATCGGTAGTATCGGTTGAATCCGAAGTATTTGAAGACTCAATTTTTGACAACTCTGCGTGAAACCAAATATACCACATTGGAGGGTATATTTTTCAGAGAGGTGCACAAAATTATACAATCTGCAATTCTTGCATCCTATCATGTATGAATGAAATCCCTTTTTTGAAGCCTTTTACAAATTTCACTATCTTTCAAGATCACACCAGAAACGCCTTGATCGCCAGAACAGGGCCTGTGTACATGTGGAGCGAATATTTCGTGAGAACATAATGAGAATACATCTGGTGCATATCAATAATATTCCAGAGCAGTTAGCTACCTTAATGATGTCACTGCCAATCACGATTTTTGAAGTCACGACATTCGCAGAAAATTTGTTGATAGGCTCATAATGTTTATACTCCGTATTCATCAACCATACAAATCCAGAACTTGACAGTCGATCAATGGCTTTGTAATTTAAAAAAAAATTTACCGTTTGAAATTGATTCTTTTCTTTTTTCTTTGATTTGTTTTTCGTCGATTTGTTTTCCGTGCTGAGCACCAATGCTACCGATGCCAGGGAGGCAGCTCCCACACCTGGATCCTACTTATCGACCCATCAACTCATGAACCGGGGACCAAGGGCTTTACTTCCCTTCCGAAGGAAGGCGTGATCAGAGATGTTATACCTCAGAACATCCCGGCGGTGCCGACTGAGATTGAACCCAGGCCTGCTGGGGTGAGAGGTAATCACGCTTACCACTACACCACCGGTGCCGCTGTTTGAAATTGATGTAAATATAAACAATGTATCTCAAAAGATTTTTCTTGTGTTTTATTTCCAAAAGTCAAAGAGTACCTATTTCACTTTTCATATACAATCATAGGGTAGAGAACTACTTCGGCCTAATCGCCCATTTTGGGCCTATCGAGCAGAAAACCTCAAATAAATCCATGATTTCAGAGTTAACAAGTCAATTATGCGTTTGGTACGATTCGTTATTAACGATTACTTTAGTTAATAAGCTACGGAACGAAGTCAATGAGAACGCGTGATATGAAGGTTTGCACCCATTATTCCCAAAAACAAAAGATGTGCTCCGACGGAATAATTTTTTATCTTCATCCGATAGGCCGAAGTGAATTCATTGGCGTTTGAATGGTGTTTCAATGCGTTAGGCCGAGTTTAGAATCCGTAGACCGAGTTTGGCGTCAAGAATCAGTGTTAGAATTTTGACAATATCTCAACGATTGGTTTCTCTTTATCAAATCTTACGGTACACACGGAAAGGTAAATAAATTTGGAAGCCATCAGAAATAATAACATTCCGTTTGGTGCTAAACAGCGCTAGATTAAGAAAGACTAAGCGCGGGTTGTGTTTAATAGGCCGGAAATGAAGTAATTAACCCTATAATTTTGTAAATCTCAAAATTTCAATTGCAACCTCAATCTCAATACTCGTCACGCTTTTTCTCGTGAAGCGCTAGTGTTTATTTACATCGCTCAATTTAAGCCGCGTTTGACGGTTTGATTTGAACTTTTGATTTCAGTCTTCACGCGTTTCTTAAAAAACATGTACAGTCAACAGTTCTGGAGGAAGTATGAAGAAAGTTCTATGAAAAGTCGGAAAAAAATTGGAGAAGTTCCAAGACAAATATTAAGAAGCTTCTGGTGGAAATTTGAAATAATCTTGAGGAAAAAAAATTGGATGACATATCCAGATGAAGTCAGAAAAAAAATTAGATATCGGATGCGTCAGAAGCTAAAGGGCTTACGGAACAGTCGAAAGAAACTTCAAGGAGAAGTTGGGGAAAAACTACTATTACAACTTACAACATTTTCAGTCATCTCACTGCGTCCTAGCAAGAAGAACGGTCGACTTGTTTCGCGCTCCGTTAATTTGGAAGTTTTCTCGCTATTATCTGACGTAAATAATCAGTTTTTTCTCGCTTAGTGATTCCTGGCATAATTCCCGATAAATTTATCAAAAAGTGAGTTTTTTTCTGAGAAGAAAGTGTGTTTTCGGCATCATCGGAAGGAAAATTGTTTTTGCGATTGCCAATTCGCCAACCATTTTGCGCACCATCGGTGCGTGGTCACGCATACCTGTGCACACGGATCATCGTCATCGAGTGTCAGCATCTGCCTCCACATTCAAACCGCTCATCCATCTCGTGTGTTCAGCTGAGTGCCGAGCTTCATACAAGCACACACCAACGAAGACCGCCCGCACACGCGGATCGAAGATCATCAAAGCTGCGCGTCGCTCCGCTGCTGCTGTGTAAACGCTTGGTGGTAGTAGTATAGGATTATCAGATAAGTTTTTGTTCTTGTTTCTTTCTCTCTCCCATCAGTTAAATTTTAAGTTTGTGTTTCTGTGTTTGTATTTTTTTTTTCTCGTGTATTGTGTCCGAGTAATTTTGATTATCGTTGCAGTGGTAGAGCGTTTTTCGCTCCCACTAGTACGGCAAAATGGACATTTTGTCGGAAGACGAAATGGACGTTTTGTCGGAAGATGACACCACTTTGCCACGCGATAGCAAGAAGGGTCGAAAACGTCTGTCATCCCAGAAATCAGATGATGCCATCCCTGCTTCGTCATCTCAGTCTGGTAATGGACAGGGACAGATAAGCCCCCGATCGCGAGCCTACCCAGAAGACTCGACTGGCCCATGGGTTGTTTACTTTCAGCCCAAAAAGAAACCTTTGAATGTAATGCAAATTACTAATGATCTGACGAAGCGGTTCTCGGCCGTGACCGAAATCTCGAAGGTGAGGTACAATAAACTTCGCGTTGTCGTCTCTAACCTGAAACAAGCTAACGAGATTGCTGCCTCCCAGCTCTTTACACTCGAGTATAGAGTGTACATCCCAGCTCGTAATGTGGAGATCGAAGGTGTGGTCACCGAAGCGAGTCTGACCCCCGAGATCTTGGCGAAGCAAGCGGTTGGCCGTTTCAAGAACCCCTTGCTTCCCACGGTTGAGATACTGGAAGTCCAGAAGCTGAACTCAGTATCTTTCAGCGAGGGTAAAAAGAGCTTTACCCCCACAGACTCGTTTCGAGTGACCTTTTCTGGTTCAGCCCTCCCTCACTACATCGAGTTGGGAAAACTTCAACTACCTGTGCGTTTGTTTGTTCCTCGGATCATGAACTGCCAAAACTGCAAACAGTTGGGACATACGGCCTCTCACTGTGGCAGCAAGGCACGCTGTTCCAAATGTGGGGAGAAGCACGAGGATGGCGCCTGCACAGTCACTGCACCAAAATGCGTGTACTGTAAGGGAACTCCTCATGGTCTCTCATCGTGCCCGGCGTACAAACAACGCGGGGAGAAACTAGAACGCTCTCTTAAGGAGCGTTCCAGGCAGTCTTTTGCAGCAATGCTAAAAACAGCCACACCATCAACCAACGACAAAAATCCCTTTGCTGTTTTGTCTGATGACGAGTCTGACTCTGACTTGGCTGAGGAGGGAGTTTCTTTCAGTTTTCCGGAAGGTTCTGCACGGAAACGAAAACGCATCCGTTCGCGGAAAGTTGCAGATAAGGAACCCCAAATCAGCTTGCCCAAATCAAGGAGTGATGGAAAAAAGGAAGTTTCAACTCCTCCTGGTTTCCGCAGAACTGACTATAACCAGAACTTTCCATCTCTCCCGGGGACATCAAAAACCCCTGATGGCCCATTTTAAAGAACAGAAGCCCTTTCTTCATCCGGGTTGTTCTCATTTGATAAAATTGTGGACGATATTCTCAAGTACCTCAATATTTCTGATCCTCTCAAAAGCATTGTTCTGGCAATGCTTCCTACTGTGAAGACCCTCTTGAAGCAATTGACATTGAAGTGGCCCCTCATTGCAGCAATCATTTCCTTCGATGGATAATTTTCCAAACGAGGTCGGGGATTTGATCACTGTTCTACAGTGGAATTGTCGAAGTCTCATTCCTAAATTAGATTCTTTTAAGTTTTTAATTCACAATAATGATTGTGATGCATTTGCTGTTTGTGAAACTTGGCTCTCTTCAGATATCGATCTTCCTTTTTATGATTTTAACATTATTCGACTGGATCGTGAGGATTCGCGTGGAGGAGGGGTACTTTTGGGGATCAAAAAGTGCCATTCCTTCTATAGAGTGAATCTTCCACAATTTCCAGGTATTGAAGTTGTTGCATGTCAGGCTATTATTAAAGGTAAGAGCCTTTGTATTGCTTCTGTTTATATTCCTCCTAGAGCCGTTGTTAATCGCAAACAACTTTCAGATATCTGTTCGGTACTTCCTGCTCCACGGTTGATTATGGGAGATTTTAATTCCCACGGTACAGGCTGGGGGGAACTGTATGATGACAACCGTTCTACTTTGATATATGACCTCTGCGACAGCTTTAATATGACAATTCTTAACAATGGAGAAGTAACACGTTTGGCTGGCCCATCCTCGAATGGAAGTAGATTAGACCTCACACTTTGCTCTAACTCATTATCGTTGGATTGCACGTGGAATGTGATCCAAGA